TAGTTTCACCTGAGATTCTCCCTATCCTTTTTATTTTACTAAAGTGCTTTGATAACTGCCCTGCCCTCTAGGGAAGAAAATGCTCTGTCCTCTTTGTTTGTGACACTCCATTCCTAATTCACATGTTGATTCATTCAATGCTTTATTACGAGCTCATACTCTGTTCCAGGCACTGTGCCAAACACTTATCCCAGCCTGCCTCATGTCAGAACTATGTACATTCCTGTTTGTCTTAGCACTGAGTCATTCATTCCTGCACAGAGGGCCTGTTCTTGCACGTCTCTTTTTTCTTAGCGTCCAGAAGTACTGTGTAGACAGGAGGATATGCATTTTTTCTAATAATAGAATGGGGTATTGGGGGTCTGCTGAAATTCTACCTTTGCCATAGTCCCATGCACAAAGCCGAGTCTTGTCACTGTTTAATTCCGGATTTTTTCGTATCATGTCCAAACTGTATTTTCCGAACTTTCCCTTCATGCTTGTTTAGTTACAGTTCTGTTTAAAGTTGTGTTCTGAGTGTACTGAGTGAAGTCCAAAAGGAGTGAACAAATTGATGGAAGATGAGAAAAGATTCTGCACCATTTCTTTCTGCATGTTAATTTGTCGATGGACAAGTCTGTATTTAAGGACAGTATATTGGCATCTTTATGTAAAATGGAACATTTTATTTTGTATTTTTGATGAATTCTTCTTAAGAAATGGTACGCAGGTAGCCTTTGGGGAGTGTGCCATCCATGAGAGACTTGTAAATGTCATCTTTGAACTTGTGTCCTTTCTAACATCTTGCTACCCCCTGCTCAACCCTTTTTTCTTAGAACTTAGCTCACTGACTTTTTCATAGCTTTCAGAGGAGAAAAAGAACTATCAGATCAGGGGCAAAAGATAAGCTTTTGGAGGAAGACTGTTTGCTTCATTCTCAAAAGAGCCACTTCAATCCCTCCTTGTCTCCACCTAAAGCAAACACTTCTGTTCCTTGACAACAGTGTTTAAAGCCGATTGAATAGGCTTTGGCCTCTGTGGTGCAGCACTCTAGAAGAATATGTCAGGATGTGTTTAATCTATTAATTTCTTGTTACTGGGAAATGCTTTTCAAAGTTTCTTAGTGAGAGAAGAGAATCATTTTGGAGAGTGCATCTTCAGAATTCTGCAGCGAAGGTTTTGTTCTCATGCCTCGGCGTAGCCCAGCTATTGTCCATGGCTTAAGTAAATTTGAACCATTACGGTTAATGTGTCTTCTTACTCTCCCACTCCCCGTGCATTGTGCTGTGTCTACCTCTCATCTTGAGTTGAGCATAAAAAATGAATTTGAGCATTAGTGGAATCCATTTGGAGACCAGGGCTTTTACTGTAAATAAAATTATTCATTTGTTATGTTCTGTTGTTTTCAGCAGAGTGTATTGATCTTGGGATTGCTATTCAGAATGGCGTAAGGAGTGCCAACACACAAGGCGGACACGGCAACATTTGTGGATGGATTGAGCATTCTGTGTAATGACAGAGACAAACCTTGCTTGCTGGCCGTACTGTATTATACAAATCATTTGTCAACAGTTTATTGAATCAGTTATTAAACAGAGCAGATTTTTCCAAACAAGAGCATCACACACAGAATGTTATCATGGCAGAACGATGTCAGGATGTTGCATGGAGGACAGCCTTACAGAGGATTTGTGAAGAGTTAAACTAGGTAACTTAAAGGACATTTCTGCTGATATATTAGAAACAAAGAGTTTAGTACAATGGAAACTGT